AAGACCATGAAAGTTTCTTTTAATTTGGAGTGAACAAGAATCTTTGAATGATGCATCACAAAAGGTAATTGTAAGGCCAAAGTGAATACATAAAAATTGGGCAGGAAATAAATAGGCTAGGGAGGCATTATTGGGACCATGGAGCAACGAGGTTGGGTTGAGAGAACGAGCCAAATAGAATATCAAATGAAGAAAAGAAACAAAATTTGCTAGTGGGGTGCCTGTCGCTGCGTCACGTAACGTTGCACACTTCCGGCTACATACACCTCGTTTTTCGCGAAACTCTACCTCGGTTAGGGGTGAAATGGCGAGGAGCTCGTATGTACCTGCCTGTCTTTCCTCGGTCAGAGTGTTTAATCAAAACCCTATTAGTGGCAGGGGGTTGTTTTCATTCACCCCTCAGGTTTTTTGGGAATATCTCCGAAACCGCTGAAGCTACGATGCTGAAATTTTCTGACTTTTCCTAAAACTAAATTGGGCACATTCCCTGAAAATTTCAAGTTCATACCTTCACCAGGGGCAGCTCCAGAGCACTGGGAATTGGGGGGTCCTATTGGTGAAGCGAGTCATTTGGGCGAAGATCACGATGCTGATGTATTATAACTGTATGCATCAGATTTACGAACAGTGAATGAAAGGTATCATGTGATAACATATACAAAGTTATTGTGCATCCTCTTTCAACACGTTTTTGCTATAATAGGCGGATCCAGGCGTCCAAAAAGGGGGGTTATGTTTTACCTCCCAACATAGGTGCCCTGACACCGCCTATGCATGACCAATACAATTGTAGTCGTTCTCTCATAAGAAAATTGTAACATAACAAGACCATTACCACCGTCCACCCTTTTTAGAAACAGTACCAACAAAAACCTTATTTACTATAGTTTTTGTGTACCCCCAATCTCAATGATCTGTATCCGCCTATGATGTTAGGATCCATGTGAATTCCTGGTTCATTCTCTATCGATCGGCAAAAGTTGCGTTAAGATTGGTTCAGAAACCTGGCCGTGATAAACAGTCTAAAATGTATCTGCAATTTGCCCGTTTTTACCCCCCTCTACCCCCCTATTGACATCTTTTAATTTTTATTTTTAGAAATGTAGATCACGTTGAGCAAAATCGAATGCCGTTTGAATTTTGAAAATCGGCCCGTTAGATCTCGAGATATCAGGGAGGGGTCGTAAACAGCCCCCCCCCCCCCCCCCCTGCCACTAATAGGGGTAGCCAGGAGCCTGCCACTAATAGGGTTAAAGAAAGGCGACTCAGGTCCGGCGGGAATTAAAACAGGTCTACTCGTAGAATCATTAACGGCTTGTATTTTTATCGGTTCCGCAGAAACATACCTGAAGAGTGTGATCAACACCTGTTCGACCTGGCTACTCTGGTGGAGGCCGCTGTAGGCGGCTGTACCTCACCAGCTGCAGCTGGCGCCATCTGTCCGTCCTACGGTACCGACACCTCACCAGTCCCAGGTGGCACCGTCTGCTCAGCCCTCAGTGGCGCCCCCTCGCCGGCTAAGCCTGCAACTGCCGGGTGGCGCCGCCGCTGTGGCCAGGAGGGTCCCGAGGATGCCGGGAGCGCGGAGACCGCTCAGGAGCCGCCGGGCCGCTGCCGCTAGGCGGCGCCAGGGGTGCACGGGGCGCCTACCGCGCAGCTGCCTCGTCTGGCCCGTCTGTGATATCCTCTCTGGGATTTCAGTTCAGGTAGCTAGGGAGGTCTTTGTATGATCAAAAGACGACCTGTGTACAATCTAAAGGCAGTGTGGCATTGGTATGATAGTAAAAGCTCCTCAATTTTTACTGCGCACCTGTTGGCGGAGTCGGTACTTACGAACAAAGTGGTCGCCACTAAGTGCCTAAGTGGTGCTTTATGCGAATTGTCGACAGCTTGATGTCCCTCCGTTCCGTCGCTTCCATCCTCAGGATACTGAAATCCTTCTCCTCCACGCCGCAACTCCCACTCCGGACTGGACGGGCACCTTTATCTCATGCGGGCTGCTCCCTTGGAGCGGCGCCGCTGCTCCCGAGGGAGCGCACCCCGTAGCCGGGCGCAGTGAGTACCTACTTTGGGGCTGGTCAGCCTGTCCATTCGGGCGGGCTCAGCCCCGGTGATCCACTAGGGTGCCTGCCCAGACCAATGTCTCCCCCTAATTCCTATCATCCTCCCGGTTCTCCAATGGTCTCATTGGACCGAAAGGACCTAGCCCAACAAGAAAAAACTTGATGTGTCCACCATCCAACTAGTCACGAGTTAAAGGGACACTCCCACCTTAACATTAGTTTTGAGTTGAGATAGCCAAATTGGTGGCCATGGCCTGCAAATACCGGTTTGGGCACTCACAACATCGACAAATGCTTTAATTCGGAGATATGGAATTTCAAACTTGCAGTTTTCGGATTCTAAGGGGCTAGTGCATTGGTATGCCCCCTTAGAATTTGTGACGTCAGCGGAGATCTAACGATTTTTAAATCTTTTACTAAAACGTTTGGTAGCACGCGGTGGTATATGCTGCTTTGCGCGCAACAAATGCCGCACTTTCAAATAAAGTCGCTAGGAACAGCGGAGATCCCAAAAAGTAAACAAAAGTAAAAGTCTAATATCTTGAAAACCGGTGAATATTTTTCGATGAAATTTGGTAGATATTCGTTTTCGCTCTTTCTGAACCGAGCGACATCACTTTCGTGCCAATTCATTAACTTTTTTGAAGGTGGGAGGGTCCCTTTAAATATTTCGTCATGATGCTGCAGCTGAAAATTGAAATATATGCACAGCACGCAGACCTTTGGTACGTATTCGCTTAGATGGTTCGGAGGGAGATGCTCCTATTAGTGCAAATGTTTCGATTCGGACCAGCCTGCAGCCTGGTTCACTGGACCTGCGACCGTTTCAGGCATGTACGTTGCATTTGCAACATTATTTTTGTGACGCTATAGCGTCACGTGTGCTACCTGTCATCTAGGTATCTCGAGATTGCGTTGGACGGACAGACCGACAAACGGCAGATATAGGTGCATGCAGGCTGCAGCACCGTGAATATGTATGTATAGGTATGGTCCAACAGAACAGACGTCCTCGTCTCCCTACCATCGCCCAGTCGCTGCGGACTGCAGCTAACTAATAAACACATATAAATTACAAATCGCCGTGGCTTTTCTTGTTATACGGCCTCGCCGCTGACCAAACACAAATCACCGTTATTACTATACTAATGAGTGTATGATGTATGCGCCGAATCATGTATCTACATAAGTAGACATTACGATCGCCGGCCAATCTGGTGTCTGGTGCCATTGTCCATCGATACCAACGATACGCCAGGCTGACATATACCTACCCTGAAGCTGACACCCACAATACTGCAAAGTTATTGTAATAAATAACGTAATGCCACAGTTAACCCGGACTCCGTCGTCTGATTTTTTTGTTTGTTTTGCTGGGTAAGGCCCTTTCGGCCCGGGCGAGACCATTTCAGGGCCAGACGGATGATAGGAATTAGGGGGAGACATTGGTCTGGGCGAGCACCCTAGTGAGTCGCCAGGTCGGCCTGCCCGTCCAGAGGACCGGCAGGCCGACCAGCCCTCCAGGCACTCACCGCACCCGGCTACGGGCGTGCTCTTACGGGCAATCCCGCACATAGGCGGCTGAATTGGGGGGGGGCACCGGAGCATCGTGCCCCCCTTTGATTTTGGCATTTTAACACTCGCCGGCACGGGGGGTGGTGATACAACCCCCCTAAGGTTTTTTCGCGAATAACTCGCGTAAAAAGCGGCCGATCGCAACGAAAGTTTCAGTACTCTCGCATTAATCAATTTTACACCTACTCTGACAATTTCATGACCCTGACCCAAATGACCTTTGACCTGTGACCTCTCTTCCGAGACCTTGTTTGGCCGGAATCGCGATTCGGCGTATGTCAGCTCGCATTAGCCTAGCGTTTGCAAGCTTTTCGTGGTTTCAAACGTTTTAACATGTGATTTGATGTTGCTCCCATGCATTAGGGTGGGTGTCAAGGTCACCTGAAGGTCAGGTCAGGTCATTGACCTTTGGTGACCTCGGTTCACAATCACTTTTTCGAGTTGTACATGTTCCTAGGCTAGTTTTTGGAGCTGAATTCGAATTTAGCAACCATTGGAACATTTACGAAGTAGTTTTGGTGCCTTCGTAACATGTTACGAAGCTGTCAGAGGCGGATGACAGGTACTACGAATACCCGTCACGACCCCTACCGGTTGACCTGACCTGACCTAACCCGACCTGGTCTAAACGCTTAACGACATCATCTGTGATCAAAACTAACACGATATTCGTGATCAGCACCCCGGAAAACCCCTTAGCACCAACACTTTACGACTTTCTAACAGGTCCCGATTTTCCCGATTTTTGGGTCATTGACCTGACCTGGAAGGTCAACCGAGGACCTAGGACCTTAAAATTGGGTATCATTGGCTTCCTCTCGTGACGGGCAACACGCTCGTTTTTTCCGCGAAGCTCTAGCTCCATCAGGGGCCAAACGCGAGGGGGGTCGTACCAACCCCCCACCTCCTTGTGCCGTCGAAGGACTCAAAATGGCCTGTGCCGGCGAGGGTTAACATAAGCCCTATGGGCGTTGCAAGGAAAGAATGGGAGTTGGGACCAAAAGTACCAGCAGTGCTCCGGCCCGGTGTTCCGCCGCCACTGATCCCGTCCCGCCCGCATGGGATACCTACAGTTGCCCATCCAGCCCGGAGCAGGGGGCTGAGGCGTGAGGGAGGATTTGCCTGTTCTGAGGATGGAAAAGAGGGAACGGACACCGTCTCGTCGTCCGAACTCCGGAGTCACTCATACGTGATCGTATTCAGCAAGGCTATGCATTCCAAATGTATTCAGTCGGTAGATATTTCTTGGCTAGCTGCACATTTTTGTTATTTGGTATCACCTTTACTCGATATGGCAGCGCTTGTTTGAAGCGTAATATGCGCATGTGCTACGTCCTAAGTGTATTCGATTTGTAATGACTCTGCGCAAAACTGAAATATTAGGAACATTTTAGCCCTTGCATTGGTGACTTGCTGCGACTGCTATTTATTTCTTGCCGAAATCGGAGATACTGAACAGAAGTAAACTTTGACAAAATTAGGTGATCTTGTTATTTTTACGGCGCATGGTATTGATGTGATTTGAATCTATATCCAATTCAAATTGTAAAATAAATTTTATTGGAAATTTTGCTGATCAGTTGGCCAGGTATGCATATGCTTATCTACCAAGCTGCCTTAACAGCAGTATTAGGATCATTAATTTTCAACGTTTCCTCAGCAACTGATATTGATCTGGCTGAAGAGAAATATGGAGTGAAATTTGCAACGAGATGTGAAGGTAAGTTTTGAGTTTGAAACCCTTAAAAACATTCTATGTTCATTTATTTATACAGAAAGTGCATCTGCTTCTTCTCTCTTTCACTGCTACATTGTTAGTTTGACTGACCCACCTCCGGGTCAGTCAAACTAAAGGCGATGCCTCCCGTGAAAAACTATACCATGATTAGAGGCTGCAATGTGAACGTGAATGGACTCAGCAATAGAGTACATTCATTACAGGCACTTATAGACCAACATGATATACAGTTAGTTTGTGTGACGGAAACGCACCTTACTCATGAAATACTATCCCCTTTTGTTGCTATACCTCATTTCAATCTCATTCGGAATGATGTAAAGGGATCGGTGCATAAGCATGGAGTTTGTGCATATTTACATGAGGATCTGTCAACTGACAATATTAGTTTCCCTGCCAGCAACGTTTTGATGTTTCGCCTGAGTTCATTCAATGTCCACATTATTTTAGTGTATCGTCCCCCATCAAATGACACAATTCAAAATGAGGAACATGCAAAATTTATTGAAGGGGTGACTACAGGAAAAGAATGTATCATATTAGGGGATTTTAATTTACCCAGTATACCCTGGTCCATAAGTGAACTCTGTCCACCTGTCAGCCCTGTACCGCCCTTGGAAAACAGATTTCTTGAGGCATTTAACTCTGTTGGTTTAATGCAATGGGTATCAGAGCCAACCTACCCGAAGTCGGGCAACACCCTTGATCTCATTTTCACCTCTCAATTTGATTGCATGGGAAAGGTTGAGGTTGTACAGCCACTCCCATCTTGTGACCAAGCAAGGTGTTGTCCATCTGAACTTGACAGTCACGTGACCCATTTGACCTTCGGATCCAATTCTGGTAGTCAATTCTGGCGCTTTTGTTACCATAGCGATAAATATAACCCTGTGTTCAAAGTTTTGCTGACGACGAAGATTCTGCGTAATCTGGCCAATGACGCTCGAGAACCGCGGCCAAGCCCCGCTGATCTTGAACGTGATTGGTCGGACGGCGTTTAGAATCTTCGTCGTCCGGGAGACTGCGAACACGGGGTAAGCCAAGGGGTAAACAATCTCTGCGTGGGTGGAATGGGGAGTCGTGAATGTGTAAGGGCGATGATAGGCTGATTCGTCGATTTTTATTTATACTATTATCCTTATTATACATTCTGATCATTTTGTTTATGTTTAGGAGTTTTCTCTGTTGATTTAACATCAAAAACTTTGTGTTTTACTGTTAATGCCAAGTGCCATGTTGATATTGAAATTGGGTTACAATTCCACATTCACCTGTTTTTCTATGGTCTGTTGTGCATCATATTATTGGTAATGTGAATATAGGTACTCCATACACTGCTATTTTTGGGTATATATTAATGTCTGACCTGATTTTACTTCACGTCTTCACTTCACCTTATATTTTCTTGCAGCAACAGTTATCACACCATTATTGTGCAAAAATAAGGGTGGTGTTTTGCGACACTTGCCAGCCACTTTTGATTTCCATAGAGACATCAACAAGCCTATACCTCCAACACTACCAGAGGTTGACGCTAGCTCACAGAATGCGCTGGCAGCGCCAGCGCGCCCGTGAAACACAGCCAGGGGTTTCCTCTGTAACGTCATTGTTGTCTAGGTACTTGGGCCTTCATCAATTGTTAACAGCTACAAAAATTGGAATTAAAAATGTTCAGGTATTATGAGCATCAGCCAAACAGGCAAGTGAATTTGGCTACAGCCCATCTTGCAACGCCTCAATGAAATTTAACGAGAAACTTAAATTGAGGGAGCAGCTACATAACTGAGGTAAAGCCCATCAATCCTTGTGGATTTACCTACATAACTGAGGTAAATCCACAAGGCACTTTGAGTTCAAACTATGAAGTGACTCCAAGCGAAATATAACAGAAATTGGGACTTCGTGGAGCTTAGAAATAATCTGCTTAGTGCTGGATGAATGTTTTCACTTAAAATAAACACCACCATATTTGAGTCATGAAAAAGTGTTTGGTAAGCATAAGCTTGTAGCATAAAAGATGTTTGTGAAATATCACTAGATTTTAAGTGTTAGTCTCTGCACATTGATTCTCTGATTGTTTGAATGATGAAGTCTCTGCACAGTCTCTGATTGACTGAATGAGCTCTGCAGTCACAATAATGAAGTTCATGGGAAGATATGATTTGTAATAAAAGAATGTAATATTTTGAGTTGATTTTACCTATTCTGTGAAGATCATAGCATGTTAACAGCATTCCAAACAGGGCATGTCAAAGGTTGGATGGATCTTGCGATTTCCTTGAAGTGTGACTGTTAACCATATGTTGTTTTTTTATTCAAAGTTATTGTTAAAGTCAACCAACTTTTGCAACATTGAGGATCATACTTTAGCTTTGGAAACAAGACATATTATGTAGTTATGCTGATCTTCTTTTCCAGTCTTTGATTATCACTTAATTTCATTCACTTTTGATGTAGTGAAATTCATGATCATTTTAATGACAAGCTACATTTGAAATGTATTGTTGCTCCCTTTTTTACCATGCATATTTTTGTATCTTGTGAGGTCTCATATCAATATAGCAATAACAAGAGCAGTAACATGCATAGTTTGCTTGTGTTGTCATAACTTTGTACAATATTTCCACCTTTATAATATGCAGTTACCTCACATTGGGCATCACACATATATTTTTTCCTGCAGGAGGAAAGACACAGAGCCAACTAGTGACTCATGTTTGTGCTCCTATCACTTTACCCCTGGGGAATCAGTGCCCACACCCCTTGAGTATAATGGTCACCGAGGGGTGCTGTCCTGACATGTTCACTTTCTGTTGAGAAGGTTAGAACAAATACCATGTGTGTCATTTAGTTGCATATATAATACCTTCATGTTAAGTCTGCATTGAGTCTGAAGTCTGTAGCCACCCTTAATCCTAGGTTGTTGTGACCTTTATCTAGCCTGGGTGAATATCTTGCTGTACTTAAAGCACAGACTGCGCTACGCCCCGGCACGGCGGCCGGGGCGCCTCCCCTGGAAGAAAACGGCATCGGGGAGAGGGGACGGACGGCGAGGGGCCGGGGAAGGAGCGCGGCACCGTCACCCCACAAGCCGCCCGCAGCACCGCCGTTATTCTTGTGCCTCTTGGGCGCCGCCGACGCCCTGCGGTTGGGGAGCGCATCCCAGACGGGCGGGAGCCGGGAGGGCCGCCTGCGCCACCCGGCCGGCGAAGCAGCAGCCCGGCCAGGCGCGGCGGGCGGCTGGGTAGCGGCCGGACTGAGACGAGTCCCGAGTCGCTCCATGTCTGTCCCTTGCGAAACTAGTACCGCCGCCGCCCAGCCTTGATGGGTCACTACGAGGAAAAGGCGAGCCCGCTCCCAGTACCTGGCGTGTAGCTCCCGCGCGGGTACGCCGCCTCACCGATGGCCCCTGGTCTTCTCTCTCTCTCTCTCTCTCTCTCTCTCTCTCTCTCTCTCTCTCTCTCTCTCTCTCTCTCTCTCTCTCTCTCTCTCTCTCTCTCTCTCTCTCTCTCTCTCTCTCTCCGTCTCCGTCCCCGTCCCCGTCCCCGTCCCCGTCCCCGTCCCCGTCCCCGTCCCCGTCCCCGTCCCCGTCCCCGTCCCCGTCCCCGTCCCCGTCCCCGTCCCCGTCCCCGTCCCCGTCCCCGTCCCCGTCCCCGTCCCCGTCCCCGTCCCCGTCCCCGTCCCCGTCCCCGTCCCCGTCCCCGTCCCCGTCCCCGTCTCTCTCTCTCTCTCTCTCTCTCTCTCTCTCTCTCTCTCTCTCTCTCTCTCTCTCTCTCTCTCTCTCTCTCTCTCTCCCCGACGCCAAAACCGGCTCACAGCGGCGTTCATGTCGGCCGGGGCGAAATGATTTGATGAATTATTTCATAAAGGCATTTACAGTGACAAAAGACAAAAGTTCAACAAATTCTACGCATGAATCATCCAGTAGGTACTGGCTTCGAGAACAGTTAAAATGAAGATGCACAAGAAATCGTAATTTCCCAATGACATGACATGGCTGTCGCAATGCTTAGCCGCAATCACCTCTTTTTGTAGTTTAAATGGTAAGTAGTTTTTGAAATTATCCGATAAAAATCTAAAATTGATACCATATGAAAGACCAATCAATTCTACACATGAATCAGGGTGTATCTTTGAGAAAAACTTGAAAGTTTAGGTGTGATAAGAAAAACAAATAAAAATGAACCATTTCCCCATAGACTTTACATTGGCTCCAAAATCGCATGGATCCAGAATTTCTGGAAGTGCCCTCGCCACAACTGCACGTGCGCTGCGCTCGAAAATGATCACGTGACCAAATCCAGATGAGATCACCGTATTTATAGTCAATAGTCACCGTGCTTGTGACCATTGCCCTTTGATTGCCCTATCATATTTGATTATCTGTGTGATGGAGAACCGCGGCAGGAGGGAGTTGAGCCCCAAGTCTCAAAGCACCGGGCATGGCATAAAGGTTGATATAGCCGCATGAAAGAGGGTTTGGCTGGCATAAATTGGGATTTTGAACTGGCAGAGCTTAGTTCTTCAGATGCATATGATCGACTAGTTGTGATTTTGCAAGATCTAATAAATGATTGTGTCCCAATGCGATCAGACAACGGTTTGAGTAAAAAGTCGTGGAAAAGCAATCCACCTCGAAGACTAACCAGAGCAGCCAAATTGGCGTGGGGATCATACAAGACCACTCGCAACAAATATGGTAGAAAGTCCAGCCCAGCTAAGGAATCGTTTGCAAGATTTGCAGAGCTGAACAGGAAAGTAAAGTCTTTTCATGTGTGGTCTAAATCTCAGTACGAACATGGCCTTATTGCTAGATTCAAGGAGAATCCAAAATTACTCCATGCATACATAAGGGGAAAGAAATCTGCACAGTCATGCATTGGGCCCTTGAAAAGTTCAGGTGGCCAGTTACTCACGGATCCTCAGGACATAAGTGAGTGCCTGGCTACAGCATTCAGTGAGGTTTACAACCCAATGGTTCCATTGCAACAGGAACCTCATCAGACCTTCGAGGGACAAATAGATCAGCCACAGATCACTGTAGGGGAAGTTAAAGCACTTTTGAATTTCACTGATGTAAATACTGCAGCAGGCCCAGACAATATCCATCCCATGGTTCTTAAGATGTGTGCCCATGAGCTTTCATATCCCCTGCATGTCATATTTTCCCGATCATTGCGAGAGGGAAGGATTCCTGCACTTTGGAAGCAGTCCTTGGTAGTCCCTATATTTAAAAAAGGTACTCGCTACGAACCCCTAAATTATCGACCGGTCAGCATTACATCGGTACCGTGCAAGATCATGGAAAAGATTGTTGTTAAATGCTTGCGAGAGTACCTGGAAGCGAACTCCATTTTGTCCCACCACCAGTTCGGTTTTCGACCAGGACGATCAACCATGGAACAGTTGCTGCTTGTTTATGATCATGTTGCGCACTGCATGGATAGCGGGGAGGTGGTCGATGTAATCCTGTTCGACTATAGTAAGGCCTTCGATGTTGTATGCCATGAAATACTGCTAAAGAAACTACAAAGCATTGGGATTGACGGCAAATTATTAGACTGGATTGGCTCGTTTCTCGTCGGGAGAACGATGCGCGTGTGTGTGAATGGGATAACCAGCAGCGAGAGGCAAGTACTCAGTGGCGTTCCGCAGGGATCCGTGCTGGGCCCTTTGTTATTTTTGATATATATTAACTTTATTGGATCCAAACTCAACGGGACCTATAAGATATTTGCCGATGATCTTAAGCTATATGCGTGTGTTAGACATGTCTCCAGAGACTCTGCGACTGTGTTACCAGACGTGGACGAAATGCAGCGCGACATTGATGTACTGTGCAAAACATCAACGTCGTGGGGCCTGACCATCAACAAGGAGAAATGTGCGGTACTGAGATTTTCACGGAAGCGCCACAACACGCCACAACCGGGTTACCTCCTGAATGGCGCTCCGTTACCGGCCTGTGAAACCCACCGAGACCTTGGAGTTATTATCGACAACACCTTAAAGTTTCATGAACACATTTCATCTGTTGCCCACAAGGCAGCTGCTCTGTGCCAGAGCTTCCTTAGGGCAACTGTTTGTCGCAGTCCTGACTTTCTGCTTTTCTTCTACACTACACATGTAAGACCTGTCATAGAATACGCGTCATGCCTTTGGAACACCGGCTATGTGGACGACTTAAGGAAGCTAGAGCATGTTCAAAGAAGGTGGACAAAGCAGGTGGAGGGACTTGGGGACTTGCCATACCCAGAGAGGCTGAAAAAATTGAACATGTTCTCGGTGAAAGGTCGCCTTTGTAGGGCAGACTTGATTCATTACTGGAAGATTTTCCACGGAAAAAGCTGCAATGTCCCGGAACATTTCTTTACACCATCTCCGAATGTCAGCACTCGAGGTCACAGTTTGAAGCTACAGGTTCCTCGGGCAGCAACAGATGCACGCAAAAGATGTTTTTCACACCGCCAGGTGTTTTTATGGAACAGCCTCCCTGAGAGAGTGGTGATGGCCCCAAATCTCTCCACTTTCAAGCGACTCCTGGTCGAAACCGTTTCTGACGAGCTGTATGATTTTGTGTAAAACAACACATTTACATTGACAGTATGTTGGGATACACAGCCCGAATTGATGATGGACACAATGCAGACACACTTTTCCGGTTTGTAATCTTTATATGTAGTTACTGCCAGGATTAGTTCTAGCATTGAAGAACTGGCGTGTCTTGTGCTTCCGGGTTCCTCTTCTCCCTCCCTACACCCGTCCTGTAAGGCTGGGAAGTGGAGGAACCCCACAAGGTGAGTAAACAAGGTGAGTGTACCAATTGACCTATTGAAGCGGAAGGGAGAGAAGGTGATAATCAAATTCGGCTTTCCTTCCTTGTTTGTCAAGGGAAGTTGAAAGAAATTATTTACAGAATATAATGCTGATCAGACCATGTTGTGCTTTCAGCATGCAAAATAGTGGCAGCGGAACTTGAGGACCAGCTACAGAAGACTGGCAAGACTCATGATGTTATTCAAACTGGCTATCACCTTGATGCAGATCCCAAATCAAAGATTACGACAAAATATAGAAAATCGTAAGGCGTGTTAAAGCTTATCTACCTATGTATCATGTTTCCTGTTTAGCATGGCAAATGATTTGGTGGTTTATTAAGTTTTGGCAAAAGGCTTGGTCTAGATCTGATAAGGTTTGTGAAATTTATGCAAATTATTGCTGATTCCTACTGTTTTATTTATGAGATTTTCACCCCTTTCATGCTTTTATTCTTTTATGCAGCGAGCTCCGACTTTTGGAGGTTTTAGAAGATGTGTGTGAAGGTATCCTCTCGTACAATGTGCACAAGGAGCGGACAGACAGCACACGCTTTGCCAAGGGCCGCAGTCAGACCTTCCAGACTCTCCACAACCTTGTGTAAGTAGCTTCTGCAGATGAAGAAAGCCAAGGGAGGCATCATGATGTATAATTATTTTACATATTAAAACTTATAGGAAGTTACACCCAATGTAAACTAAACAATTCCTTCAAGTCAACTGATGACAATTTGCATTTTCCATTAAAATCTCAGAAGGTCTGCTGTATAACCTGTGTGAGCCTACAATGTAGCTTGAGTGTCTGTGACCATGAGTCTACAATGCTGAAATATCTTGGATGATCGGTCCTAAGCTTGGAGGCAATTTGTGTCATATATGTATGATGTAACCCAGGCAGTGTGTGCTATTTTCAGTGACAAAGGCGTCAAAGTGGACCTTGGAATCCCACATGAACTGTGGGATAAACCCAGTGCAGAAATAACCGACCTGAAGAACAAGGTTGGTTTTCATTATGTGTGGTTCATTATTCATTATACTAGTTTTATTTTGGCTGCTATTTGATAAACACACTTACCACTGATTTTTGTCTTTTTTCGATTTTCTTTTTTATTAGCTTCATCGATATGACATATTTTAAAAGCTAATAATTTGTTTTCTTACTGAAACATTGAACTGGGAAGGTGAATGAAGCTTCATGCTTTTTCAATATTTGGCCTGAATGTTATGCCGGTCGTTTTCAGTGTGATGCGCTGATAGAGGACTTTGAGGAGGTGATCACGCAGTGGTACAATGAGTACCAGGAGGCCATCCCCCTGTCTACCTTCCTCTGCTCGCGCCACGTGCTAGCAAAGGACGACGACGCGTGCCTCTCGGACCCGCCGGCGGCTCCCGTGCGCGACGAGCTCTGACACGTGGCGCCCGAGATCGTGGACCCGCCGCCGCCTGGACGCTCATATTGACGTGGCAGACCGCTACTGGCCGTGCTGAACTGGTAACTGAGACAATGGTGGTGCGTTGGGATCATGTGGGCTCAGTCGGTAGGCCCAGCTCAGTATTTATTTGTTTGAAACCGGTTTTAAAACTGAGCATGAAAGTTAAGTGTTCAGGTGGAACTGCCAGTGAAGTCGAAATCAATTTTAATGCCTGACGAGTCGTTAGTTCCGTATTCCCAATAGATTGATTTCATTTGAGTGATTCTTCCGTACGTGATTGAGATCAGAGATGTGTCGCAAGTTGAATCATTTTACCAGTAGGTACCAATTCGTCATTTTTTACACATCATCTGTATATTAAATGTGTATCTACGCTTACATCATTTAGTGTTTTGTGCGTCTGTATGCTTATGAGCTTGATCTCTTGCTGGTGTATCAATATACAAGGTACATGACATTTTACATGCCCGGATCTTGAATTCATAGAAGCGGTCAAAAGCAAAATGGCTGAAATTTGAAGCTAATGGTGTATACACAATGCAAATGAAGCGCTCCATACACCGATACACCCAGTGTATAAGTGAAGTGATTTAGCTGTTAGGTACCCCTTGCAGATGTGATGAAGGAATGTTTGGGTTGGGACGAGGAACCCCAATCAAATTGCTTTTGGGATTAATGCACCGACTTTATCAGGAAATTGAACGACAATCCACACAATTATAGGTTTTATGTACATGCATTGTTTCACACTACCACCTACATGTCAGGATGCGTTCTAGAGCCATTTATTCAACGGAGTGACTTATCACTTCGAATGCCTTACTTATTGTAGGTAAGCGCGCAAATGTCACAATAAGCATGCATATAATTATAAACGGCCAGAAACTGCATCTTTTACTCATGCTTCCCAGCCACTCAGATCCACTTGCAATTGCAAATAATGCCCAATACACCACATGTGATTCACTGTCCCTAAAACAGTTGTCAGTTTCATTCTAGTCTCAGTTCACTTCTAAGTCGTTTTCAGTTCGAATCGGTTCGTGTACGAGGCTACACTGGCTATACGTTTCCATGGCACAAGCTAAGCCGATTTTGAAAAATGGATTTCCTCAATCATAGCATTTAGGCATAATTTGAAAATGTAAATATAGGATTAGGTGCTAGCTATTACTGTATGCCTGGCCTATTCAAATACATTAGCCAGAGGGGTGTGGTAATAACTGGTGTAAGCAAATTGACCACGGTCAAAAATGCATTACCAGAATGCACTTAAGCGAACATTTTGGGATGGTCTCGTTCCTAAGTCGGCTAAGAGCTTCGGTCCAGAAAATAAATTTATCGTTGGCATACAGTAAAATACATACCAAACTCGGCCGGTGATAAATTTTCAAGACCTCAGTCCTTACTGATTTTTGAACTCGGCCTTCGGCCTCGTTCAAAAATCCAGTAAGGACCTCGGTCTTGAAAATTTATTTACACCGGCCTCGTTCAGTATTATATAAAACCATATGTAGGGGAGATCCGTGTAAGACGCCCAGGGTCGGTAAGAGGCCCCATCGCTTTTTTTACCAAACCAATAATGTTATTTATTTTTTAATGTTCTTGTAAAGCAGAAGCCCTCTTGAAACAACAACTCACGAAACCTGAGGTATCAGGTGCGTCGCAGAGACTTTTGGTAAGCCTGTTTCTGTTTTTGCCCCTTTACTTGCCAGATATATGCATCTTTATCACCCTTATATATCTGAAAAAACAATGGCTATCAAATGCAATCTTATCTCATCGAAATTTGTCACATGTTAGCTTCAGAATAGACCATGTTCTGGTGCGCTGCAAATGTCTCATAAGCCATAAAGATTGTGACGTTAAAACACTGCATTTTTTTAAGAGGCCCTCCCTTCGAGGATGATAAAACGCCCCCCCCCCCCCCCCGATAAAAAATGCCCCCGATGCTAAAACGCCTGCACCTGCGGCAGGCGTGGCATTCTTTTTTTCAAGGAGTTTGTTTTTGTTTCTTTTTTCTGTTTCTTTTCTTAGAGGTAATAGGTACAATTTTCGTTGGTCATCAGCGTTTGGTTGTGCTAGTTTTCGCATTGTTCGAGTGCTTTGGAAGTGTTATTGGTTTCGATAACACCGTATTTGCTTAGCGCTTCGAAATAAAAGGCCTTGCAGCTGTGTTCGCAAAGCGTCTTTTACAAGTCGACTTGAATTGTAAAACGCCCGAGGGGGGGGGGGGCGTCTTACCATACCCATAGTGTAAGAGGCCCTTTTGCAACTTTTTCCAAAATGTTAAAGTTTACGGTTTGTGTACCCCCTAGATTCATTTTGAATGCAAATATGTATGGGAAAATGATGCATGCTCACAGCGCATGCACACGTTAGCTCTTAAATATTATCATTTGTCTAAAAATAGCAACTGAGCTTAAGGGGGGGGCCTCCTGCACCACTCTCCCCTACGCTCATTTTTTGCAAAAGGTAAATAGTTTCCGAGAAAAACGCACGTGAAATTTCGCTAAATCGATTTAGACGTGTCATGGAAACTTAGTGATTGTGTCGGCTAGGACATTTTCATGGTCATCCCCAAACGGTCATGACTGTTGGGTAGTTATGCCGACCGGGAATGACACTTTATCTGTCCGAGACACCCTGCTTCTCTTCGTGACACTCTGCCTCTTCCTCGTCTTTGCGTGCTCATTCGCCGTCCGGGGCTCCCTGTCACGACGGTGCTGAACTGCAACTGCAGACATTGCTGGGTTGATGGCCGGCAGAAGTGTCCGGGTCGGTCACCCCGGCACGACCCGCTCGTCACGTTCCGTCACAGGCCGCCACGGGCCGGCGCCGGGCGTCACGGGCGGGCGGAGCGCGGCAGCGGACCGGCACGCACTGGCCTGTTCCGGAACATCCCTTGAACCGCGTGCTTGACGGCGGATGGGCAACACGACGGTGACTGTGGGAACACGTCACCGCGGAACGCAAGTCCAGTTAGGTATCGGATATATCCATTGGTGAACTGTGGCTATGACACAGCTTACTCGCGGCTACTCGTGCCCAATTTCTTATTTTACTTATTAAGCGAAATAAGAAAGCTTAATCTAGATGTCGACTTCCGTTTCTTGTGACACTTCTGACAACTTCGGACTCAACTGTGCGTTCCTGTCGAGATCGTCCCTTCTGTCTTTTTATCTATGCTTCTATAACTCTCCGCGTTTCCCTTCGCTTCTGCGAACACGCCTACTTGCGCTACATTCACAAGACGCCACCTTTCAGCATTGTAATCGTTCGGCATCACACCGCTTCTTCGACTCACCTAGCGTCGCTCATTATTCCGCCACTTGTACTCATGTCCATCGCACACACGATTGCCTCGCTCCGGGAGAGCAGTTCGTCTCTCAGAACTCGGCCACGGAGCCGGCTGAGATTGTGCTCGTGTCGGTGGCGTACTCGGGGTTGCTGAGGTTCTCGTGGTGCAGCTTCCGCACGCGCTCCCGCTCCCTCTCCAGCTGACGCATGTGCCGGAAGATGACGTCGTCCAGGGACTCTCGTTTCTGCGCGGCCAGCGAGCGCTGCAACCGCACGGCGAGGAAGCAGAGCAGACCACACGAGATGGCCAGGAAGCAGCCCATCAGAGAGATCAGCACGGCGAACGACGAGCACGAACTCTGCATCCGCGAGGCGGCCACGTAAAAATCTGCCGGAGTACGGAGGCTCGTTAGGTGGAGGAAGACACCAATTGCACCGTCGCGGCATGTAAGACGAATGTTGAAGCACAAGGCCGCCAGAGCGTGAAATAGCTCATCATTCAGTCGGCTGCTACGAATGCAAGAGGGACCACTGCAAAACGGTGCTTGGATACAATAAACTAAATCGGTTCTTCCTCTTAGACTTTTTCACCCAAGGACACAAGGCTGACGCATAGAGGCTTGTCACTTTCGTGGGCTTTGGGTGCGGACGTTATAGCTCACCTTCGGGCATTACGACTTTGATGCCGATGTTATCCCCGAAACTGGTGAGGTTGGAGGACAGACTGCGCGCGGTGGTCGGCGCCTCGGTGACGGGCGCTCTGGCCGAGCGGCGGCGGCGGCGACCGTGACCCGATGGCTGGAACAGGTCCAGGCAGAACGCCTGCCGGGGGGCGGCGGAGGGAACGTCAGCGATCACCCTGGAAATACCCATCACTGGACATTGGATGTCTTATCAGTGATCCGCCATTCGTCTCTCCTAGTCCCCTCGGCCTCGGAGGACCAGGGGCCCCTAGCGACCATCCTTGGTCAGCCACCGAACCAGAGCCGTCCGTTGGGACCACGTACCGGTTTGCAGTCGTCCTTTCGGGCGCAGGCGAGCACCTTGGTGTGCAGCCACAGCTGGGTGGCGTCCTGCTGGCCGTCCGCCTGGCCCAGCAGGAAGGCCTCCAGGGTCAGACGCACCTCGTGCGGCCGCTCGGCCGTCTGGTACGGCTGGGTGAGCACGATCGACGTGAGCTCCGGGTTACGGCAGCTGAAACAGCCGGGTCGGGGGAGGATCAGTGACGGGTGCGCCAACATCGCCAGGGTGCGTCAACACACCGGGAGCGGGTGGGTCAGGGTCAAGTTGGACGGTGCTAGAAAGAGACACGGATGGGTCATGTGCAAAGAGCAAACTACTGACGAACTAGAGCATAATGGAGGACATTGTACTGCATCGTGTCGAGGCACTTCGACCTTCTGACATTGGTCAAAATCATGGACATTCCTTGCTTGTCTGATTGTTCCTGGCTCTTCGTATTTGGGTTTGGGCAGCGGTGCGTTATCCTCACCTGTCCTGGACGAGCTGAACGAATCCCGGTGCGTACGGGTCGGTCTGACTGCCGGAGACCGTCACCTCCAGCAGCTCGGCGTACTTCCACGCTGTCACACAGAACCAGAATAATGGTTACCCGGAGTGAAAGAGGTGATACGAGGCTAAACACTACTCGTCTGGAACATTTTCATCGCGCCTAGCTATTATCACGTAACTTTATTGTACAATCTAAACTACGTCCTGCATTTGAGTGTCCACTGCTCCTTGAAGATCTTCTCCGACTAGCCGCCATCCCCGAGGAACTCGATTGTTGCTCACTTTATTTTTCCTAAATCCCGACCCCGCGCCGCCACCCGTCCACCCCGATCACCCACCGGCGTCAGTGCTGATCCTGGTGAGCAGCTGCAGCCGCGTCCCGATCGGCACTGGCTCGTCGACGGGCACGCTGAACTTGCCGCTGTTGAGGCTGTTCTCCCGGAACAGGCCGACCTCGTACTCCAGCCGGCCGGGCGACTCCTCCACGACGCCGGACACACGGCCGCCGGAGGGGCTGAGGGGTACAGCAGGAAGGGTTACAGCTGACTGCTGAGAGGGTCTGAGGGCCACTCCAGGGATGGTTACAGCTGGACGCCGGAGGGTCTGAGGCTACAGCAGGGAAGGTTCAAGCGAAGTCACATTACAGCCCTAAAAATGATACTGGCGTGGACGATCTATAAAGGGTAAAGTCCTGAGATGAACCCTTTACCAGGCTCAACACTGCCCACAGAGATCAAGAGTCACGTAAGATCATGGAAGTCGTCTGTATTTTCACGCTCGGACAGCAACCCTCGCTGTCTCGTGGACACTTAGCTGCACACTCACACTCTCCCGGCGAAGGCTGCCACGCGCTCCTCGACCACGGTCGCCTGGGTGGGCTTGCACATGATGATGACCTCCTGGTCGGACATCATCACCACTCCGGGCAGCTGCGGAAACCACAGCCGCACGTTCACGAAACCCTGCCGGCACGGGAAAACGGGAACCGTCAGCGGAATCGAACCTGCAGATGGGGAATCGGTACCTATTGCAAGAGAACGGCATTGCGTAGGAGCTGACACTCGGTGGACAAATATAAAAAACATAAGTCAGGAGGCATCGGTCGCTGTTCGTTGTGTCGAGCAGGATTTGATTACCTGTGTTGGGTGATTGTGAGGACTTCAGGTAGCTCCAAAGAGCAGTTTTTGATTATACGATGAAAGCATAATTTTCCCTTGGCTATTCCGGTGTCTCCTACAACGTCATGCAATTAATCTTCAACACCTGCGCAGGCTTGTTTTATCCATGAACCTAAGAAGTCATATAACCTAGGCGTCCAGTCACGTCTAGCTCCTAAATCACACAGCTCGACGCACGCAGTACGTCGGCCGGGCATCGACACGGCGTGTCCGTCGGCTGTCGGCACTGTGGGCGGTTCAGTCTCTCCTCCCTGTTCCGGCCGCGACCGTGTTCTTTTCTTGCCCTCCCACCGTGTCCGCGTGGGTAACGACCGGCTGCAGGTCGCTGCTGCACCGGTCATCCTCTGCTCCTGACCTCCGCTACCCGCCGGCGACCCCCCGCGGCGGAGGCGCGGAGCGGAGCCACGGCGGATGGGCGGGCTGTCTCAGCTCGTGACCGGGGCTGTCTCAACTCACGGCCACTGGACAAAGGGACGCCGATACGCACTCTGACCGGGATGATGCACCTTTGCAATGAGCGTGGTTAACGAGCCGAAAAAGCGGAAGAGGCGGGATCTCTGCAATGGATGCTCATGCAAATTGGGTGCCATTTTGCCAGCGCTGCTCTTTTCATTGTCATGTTTCGAGTGACGCAGTCATATGGTTCTCAGTTCAAGGTAGGTCGGTTAGATATGACTTGTAACCAGGGATGCGGAGCCGTGGAAATTTCAGACGGCTCCGGATCCGGCTCCGGAGAAAAAAAAAATCGCCTCCGGCTCCGGCTCCGGCTCCGGGTGAAATGTCATGGCGGCTCCGGCTCCGGCTTCGAGTAAAATGGTCCGGCCCCGGCGGCTCCGACTCCGGCTCCAGCTCCATTATTCAGTACATCCCCTATGCAATTAAATACGGGTGGAAGAAAAAAGAAGATGGGATTGGTGCACGCTGCTTCTGTATTTGCAAACAAGGCTATTTTCATATTTTAACCCGCGCCCCAGTGGCGGTCTCAACCAACTTCGCCCTAGTGGGGGGGGGGGGGGCATATGTTACCACCCACCTCTAACTCAAAAACTAAGAGGGCTAAAAAGACGCGGCAAAAAGCAGTCGACAGCTCTCAATGCGACGTTTGAAAGTATTTAGGTCATTTTCATCTTAGAGCAATATTGAGGTCACTGTAGGTCATCAAAGGTCAAAATTTGCCAAATGTCATTATATTTCTCAGAACACATGCCGCTATCTCAGGAACTATGGTAGCTAGAAAAACGCATGAAAGAGCAATCGATAGCTTTTGAACTTTTCTTTTGAAAAGGTCATTATCAATATTTACCTCAGGTAAACGGTTTAGCCTCCAGAGGGCAAAAACTCCAAAAATAGCTGTTTTTACGAAAAGTGTTTTTCGACAATAACTTTCTACTACAAAAAGCCACGACATTTATATTACCAGAATCGTGTTCCCCTTGCCGAGACGCGTCGAATGAACTATAAATTGACCTTGAAAGGTCAACTTGAAAATTTGACCTCAGGTCAAGGTCATGACCTGACCGGAAAAGGTCATGTTGCATATCAGTCGATGCGTCTCAACGAGACAAACACAATGAGACCATTCCCAGCGTCCTATCTCTTTCCAATCGCGAGTTATTGGCAAAAAACTGTTTGTAGCCTCAAATGACCTCGGATGACCTTTCTAGAGGCTATCAGCAAAAATGTCACCTTGGTCATCCCGAGTGGAATAAATCATTGTGATTCTGAAATATTTGGACTGTTCCTATGCGTACACACGGATCTAGAGGCATTTTCATTTTTCTCCATTGACTTGTAATGGTAAGGTCACGCCACTGACCTGACATTAGGTCACGGATATAAAAAATCCGAGATATACAAATTGTAGGTGCCCATAACATCATGCAATCCACCAAGTTTGAAACCTTTCTGACAAACACTGCAGGCTGGACAGGATTGCAAACGTTTTTTTAGGCTTGGTCAGTTAACTTGACCTGGTGACCTGACCTGACATGACCTGGGGTCAAAAATTTCACACATTGTCCAAAATCGATATACCAAAAGCTACTCCAAGCGGCGCGGCGCTACGCGCCGCAGTTTTTTATTCACACGCGAAAAACGCGACAGGGTGGTAACATATGCCCCCCCCCACTGGGGCGAAGGTTAATACCGCATAGTTTGCTGCTTTGAACTGTCAAACCGAACTAGGTCATTAATTTTTTCCTCTTCAAAAAAAGGGAGCCGGAGTCGCCCCTTTTTTGACGGCTCCGGCTCCGGGCTATATTGTTTCACGGCTCCGGCTCCGATTCCGGGATGCCGGCTCCGGCGCCTCCGGCTCCAGCTCCGGCTCCGGCTCCGCACCCCTGCTTGTAACAGATATAGAGAAGCATAATTCATACGCACCCTTCTTACCGACTGGCCATAGTTGATCACGTGAATCACAAAAGCGAATTCAGCCAGGAAGGCAATATTTAGCTTCACCCCTCACGCTCATAAACACATTAACTACTATGGACGTTTAGAAAATGAATTATGTGGATTAAAGTGTTGCCTCAGCTTTGCGTTTGGGCTTGCTGTTCAAGTTCAGCGAATTAACTTTTCATAACCCCAAAAGTCCTCCATTGTTACATAATATTACACAACGAGGCAGCCAAGCCAACGAGCGAGGAGCATTACTGATCCGCTAACTATAGCTCCGAGCACGAGCGGTCCCCCACGACCGATTATACACTCGTTGGCTAACCGCACAGCGGTGCGATCGTCGCGTGCGTCGCGGATGTGCGCCTCTGAGCCGTGACTGAGCGGCGCTCGTTCCGCCCGGCTGTGCGCGGGCGGTCCATGCGCGTGACGCCACGGTGACGCAATGGGGCGGCCAAGGAGGGCGGTTCCGCTGCACCGCGCAGGAACGGTCCCACCCAGCTCATCCAGCAGGGAAGAGGGTCCACGACCGGGATCGGCAGCTACAAGGGACGCGAGTACTGGAGGATGGGAGGAGGGCTGGGAAGAAAATCCTCTGCAGGAAGGTGACAGCGAGGCCTCCACACCCGTCTTGGGTCATGCCTGGCCCATGCAGAACCCACATTTTTAGGCTCTTTACGTATTGACACAATTTGTCATTTAGTATCGTTCGCAAAACTGCTGCTTGTCATTCAACGGGTGGGTGGTTTTTATCTCCTCAGAAGCGGCTGACACACTAACACAATGGAACTACGGACCGTTATCACTCATAATCTGGGATAACGAAGCACGCGTGTTCACATGAGCGGCACACACCAACATTTGTATGTAAATATTGACGCCTTGTGCCTCTATATGCATGTATGTATGTATGTATGTATGTATGTATTGATCTAAAATCCATCCACATAACATGGTTTTTCAGGATTCAGCGTCATGCACAATACAGTAAAGTGCAAGAAGGCAATAGGCACTGGCAGATAAAATAAGACAACTAATTGCACTAAAACCGGAATAAAACACAGCACCCCAAGATCTCAGGCTTCGCTGGCCGCCACTGCGCGGCGAAACGCGGTCAGCGTGGGCTGCTCCCTGACGGCCGGCGGCAGCCGGTTCCACGCGGCAGCAGCGCGGTAACTAAACGTTCTCTGTGTGGAAGAGAGCCTACACTTCTGCAGCTCCAGGGCGCCAGCTTCTACAGAGCGTGTGACCCGGCCAGACACCTCAGAGCGGGACACAAACATGCGGCGGATGGAGAGAGGGTAAGCTGGTATGTGGAGCGCCTTCCACACCTTCAGTAGGTCCCTCTCCCACACCAGCCGCTCCACTCTGGGCCAGCCCAGGGATGCCAGAGCCGGCCCGACCCTCTCCCGACGCCGCACGCCTGTCACGATCCGAGCACTGAAGTTGATGAGTTTTTGGATCCGAGTGAGTTGATTTTTTGTGGTTCCGCCCCACACCGAAATGCAGTACAGAATGTGAGGGAACACGTGGGTCTCAATGAGTAACTTAAGCGTTTCCTGGTCAAAATGGTGGCGGAACTTGGAGAGGGATATGAGGAGGGCATTGCACCTCCTGACGATGTGACTGATGTTGGCGTCCCAGGCCAAACACGAGTCGACAGTCACCCCCAACAATTTGATGGTTGGTGACGGTTTTAAGACTGACTCAGCTATGCAGATATGAAAGTTTTCGACCTTGCTGAGAGTCTGGCGGGTTCCGATGAGAATGAAGTCGGTCTTTTGAGGGTTCATTTTAAGAGAATTTGAGCTAAACCAGTGTTTCATGACATCCAAGGAGTTTTCGACACGTTGTTTTAGTGATGCTAAATTTTGAGGGTCAGGACGCGAGTGATCGAGCAGCTGGGCATCGTCAGCATATGCGATCATCCGACAGTCCGGTAGATGGCAGTGCAGGTCGTTCGTTAGCAGGCTGAAGAGGATCGGCCCGGCTATGGATCCCTGCGGAACCCCGCAGGGGACCGGCAGGACTGTTCTGCCGCCCCTGACCAGCTGCCCCCGGCCGCCAAGATAACTACCAAACCAGGTCGGGTCGATCCCGTACCACTCCAGCTTGCGCAGGAGGACATTTGTGATGTTAGCACCTCCTCTGGCACACCGAGAAACCACGTGACGCGCTTACCACCCTGTCGGTGCTGAAAGGCCGTCACGCCACCGGGTCACGTGACTGTGTCGTACACCGGTGTCAGCCCGCCCACCTCGGGTCTGAGAGGCGCGACCCAGTGCCCTGGAGCCGCCGCCGCACCGTCTCCGCGGGCCAGGCTGCCGGAGTCACATGGCGGAGATAATCGCCGACCTCGTCCGCCGTGAGTGCGAACAGCGCCGCGTTACGGGGAGGGAGCGGTAGATTCGCGCGCAGGAGGCGCTGCCGCTCTATTTGCGAGGTCAGGTGGCGTGACGCGACGCACGGCGCGGTACGTCGCTCATTAACGGTGGACATGGTGGTTGTGCGCCGCGCAGGAAGGCGGCAGGCCGAGACAGAGCCCAGGTGTCTTGCCGGGTCGAGACACAGACCGGGTGACTCTCTGCCGGGTCGGGACACAGACTGGGTGACTCTCTGCCGGGTCGGGACACAGACTGGGTGACTCTCTGCCGGGTCGAGACACAGACCGGGTGACTCTCTGCCGGGTCGAGACACAGACCGGGTGGCTTACCGGGTGGCGGGCCGAGACGCAATCCCACCGGGCCTGGACACAGCCTAGAGATAATTGACATTAAATGAATTTTACTCGGCAGAAGAACAACGGACATAGGCGACGTTAACCGCATTGCGCCTGGGATCCCTGGAAAGCCAATCCCTGCCTGGAAGATACACTGTGCCGCTGGGCAGTCCATGGTAACTGCATCGCAGAACAGAAACACATCACTGCCTGGAAGCAACACTGTGCCGCCGGGCTTTGGCGACTGCATTGCGACACAAAAACATATCACAGCTTATCGCTGCCTGGAGGCTGCACTGTGCCGCCGGGCTTTGGTGTAATGCGGTGCAGCCTACCCATTCCGCCGAGCAAACAATCGGGTTTCCAACGGTGGACCTGTAGGTATGATTCTCCTGCTGCAATAACAGTCGACTCTTGCCATAGCCATAGTGAAATGTCATCTTCTAAAAACCGTGACAGGTCCAAGGACTGTGGTCCACTTATTCCGCCAGCAGACGTCTCCTAATTAGTCGCCGGGGCCCGCCGCCGTGCCGGCCTTGAAGAGGGAAGGCGTGCGTACACACGAGGGAGGATGTTGACACCGACCAGCGTCACAAACAGGTGGCTGTCCGACACCAAACAGGCGGCGGAAGCACGCGCTGCCGGCGGAGCGCGACCCGCGCTGGTCACTCGCCCACCGGACGGGAATAACACAGACGGAATAAACCAGCGACAGACACTAATGACGGCGACAAGGTCAGAGAATGAGCGGTTGTTAGACGGACCGCTGGCATGGAGTGAGCAATTGTCGGTGATTTGAAGAGCAGTCTATGAATTGGACAGGGGTGTAATTGGGCGTGCAATAGAGTGAATCGATTTTTCTCCAATTTACTTCAATTGTAAGAAAGACATTTCTAAATCGCTTAGTGACTAATGCAGATAGAAAGCAATTTAGTTATTTCTCAGACTATGCACGCAGTTTCAACGGATGCTATTTTTGTATAATATTCTTTGAACTTATAACTTCATTGTAGACTTGATGTTATAAAAAAAAAAATTGTTGCAACCCTTATAAAAACGGAAGCAGATCTTGGTCTGTTATCTGCCTAGTTGCATCAGCATTGCTTCTCTCTTTGAATATTTATGATACTCCCTCAGATAAAAATGCAAGAGAGACATTCCTAACTTCCTATGCCTTCCTCAAAACCGTTAAAAACAACATGAAAAAAACAGGAATTTATATAGCGTGCAGCTCCCGTGACGTGTGCGGCACTCACGTCTCGTTTGAGCACCCCGCAGCGGGAGAAGTCCGTGACGAGCAGGCTGTAGATGAGTCGGTCCGGGTCGCTCGGGTCGGCCCGGATCTGACACGCGCTGTCCAGCTGGGGGATCACCTGACGGTCGTCGGCGAACAGCGGGTCGCCCCGGAATCCGGGGGGTTTCCGGAGCCGGGCCGAGAGGCGGTCCGGAGCGCCGCCGTCCCCGGAGAAACTGCACCGGATCTCGGCCACTGCCGGGACGGAGGGGGGGGGGGAGGGTCATATTTTGGACACTGTGGGTAGGTAGGAGGGTGAATACTGAATAGGGAATTGATATGATCGCAGTCATTTTAGACAAAAATAGATAGAGTGATAGATAAAAATAGAAATAGATAAAAATAGGTAGAGTGTTTAGATCCGAGGCAGTATGGAGTAGACGGCAACTGCGAGAGAGGGTTCAGATATTGATTGTTGGGGTCAGTAGAAATAATAAGGAGTCTCTGGGATGAAAGGCAACTACACTGAAAATCAACATACGGAAATAGTAAAATGATAAAATTCATGATTATTTGTAGCACTTACCTTCATAATCTTGTCCTGCAGCTGCACATAACTGAAAAGAAAGAAAAGAATGAGTTACTGATGCATGATGGGAGCTTAGTTTCCGACCGCTGAATCGTAAGCGATCAGCTACAAGGTGCATCATTATTGTTTCACATGCCTGCTTTCTTATCTACCCTCAGCCATTTCATCTATGGAGGAAACAACAGCTATGGACGGTTTGGTACCTTTTTTTATAAATGAAGACTAATTATATAATTAATTGTGAATCGTTTGGGTTTGATAGTTCGTCTATTCATGTCCGGTTTAATTAACACGCGCACCGACGCGACGGGGGCGGATATCCGCCCCCCTGAGGTTTTTCGCAAATGGCGGGAAAACCGCGGCGCGTAGCGCCGCGAAATTTGGCACGACTATTCCCTTATCAATTTTACACATGGTGTGCAAGTTTGAACCTCCTACCTTTTAAGGTCAGGTCACCAGGTCACTTTGAATGACCCAACCTCAAGTCACTTTTTTGCAACTTTGTCACCGTGCCAGAGCTACAGTAGATGTCGGAGGCATTTGAAAGTCGCAGGATGTTATTAGGTCATTAGTAGCTACAACTTGTATATCTCAGAATTTTGATATCGGTTACCTAAGGTCAGGTCAATTTCGCGACCTCCCCATTATAAGTCAATGGGGGAAAAATCAACTCCCAGTTTTTACCATTAAAACGGGTCGGAATGGCCCCATATACCATGCATGTTTTCATATACGATCAACCTTCACTACCTTGAGGTCTGTTTTGCTGTTGGGCAGCTGTAAGGTCATGTGACGTCATCAAAGGTCACCAAACGTTTTTTTTTTTGCCAATAACTCCGTACAGGAACAAGATACAGCCGCGTGGATGGTCTCATTGTGTTCAGCTCGTCAAGACGCATCGAATGATATACATGATGACCTCGAGGTCACGTGACCTGAGGTCAACCTTTGACCTTGACCTTTCGAGGTCAACATACCTATATATCATTCGATGCGGATTGACGAGAGGATCACGATGATGCCCTTAGTTTGCTCCTATCTTGACTAATTCGAAAGTTATTCGAGAAAAACTCTCTCCATATCTAGCGCCGCCATTTTGACTTTTTCGACCCCTGTGACGTCATCTTTGACCTGACCTAAAAATGACCTTCGTAAAAATTGTAGATCTTGACCGTGCGTATCCGATGCCATTTACCGCTTGTCGCTATCTTGCTTCGTTCTCGAGATTCAGGGGGGCGGTCATCCGCCCCCCCCCCCCCGTCGGTGCGAAGTTGGCGCAGACCCCCGTCGGTGCGCGGGTTAAGGCAATCATAAGACGTTGCTTATTATTTGTTTGGTTACATGCAACAACCGTTTGTTTTGCCGGGCTGACGTTGCGTACGAATATTTTGAAATGGTTAATGGGCAAAAACATAGACTAGGCGCCTAGTATTATGGAATTTGACATCAATGTTCCATTTCTACATAGTAGGTATGCTCTTGCCAAGAGTAAGACTGTATAATCAATTAATTTTCATATCTATTAAAAAATCACATTTTAATTCAACTTTAAGCGCTGAATGCTCTCAACAACATGTGGAGGTATGTGTATTGCCTACCTACCAAAGAGCTTCCGAGCAGTAGCAGCAGCCACAGTAACGCCGTCATCGTGTCCTTATTTATACTCCCCCCGGAGTAACGCTCTTCCAATCACGCTCAGTCTGGCTGCTCAGTTGGTGCACCTCTCTGAAGCGAAGCAGTAACTCGGAGTTGGCACTTCACGTGGTCCCCAGCGAATAGCCACTATCGTGTCACCGTCTAGTTCCGGACGAATATGTCAGCAGGTGTCCTGAAGCTCACCTCTCCGAGCACCGTTACAATCAAGCACTTCCTCTCCAGCCACTGTCCCAATCAAACACAGCCTCCACGCCACTATCCTAATAAAACGCTCCACGGTCACTGTCCCGCCCAGACACCTGCACCTGTCCGGTCACTGTCCGGTCACTGTCCGGTCACTGTCCGGTCACTGTCCGGTCTCAGCTCCACCTGTCTCGCTGCTGTACAGCTACTGTCCCACTCCGGTGACCACACCTGGCCTCCCGGTACAGACCCTTCCGAGTGGTCGGCTCTGCCCTTTCAGCCTCGCCACCCTCCTGGTTCCGCTATACCGTTCCGCAGATCACACACGATTACCAGTGACTCACGCTCTTCAGGCCTTCCGTACCTCGCACTGTCCTCTGAACACAAACCAGTAGCTGGAACACCGATCCTGCGGTCTGCCACCACTCGACCGCCCTGAGACCGTCTGACGGTGCCAGTCTCACCCCCGGACGTCTCACCCCGACTGAGTACGTCCGGCGGCGTCACGAGCGGGGACGCGGCGCGCGGCGTCTCCGGGCGTCACGAGCGGCTGCACGCCGTCACCGGCCCGTGACAGTGACGTTACGTGACGGTCCGGACCGGTGCGGCGCGTGCCGTCCGTGTCGCCAGCGGGGGTCAGTGGCAGTGACGCCGGCGCCGACCCGTCACGGTGGAGGGCACAGATCGGGGCGGGATATCGGACCGACCGAATGGGGCTCAGTTACGTGCATGAACAGCATGGCAATGGTTTAAAGGAGTGATTTGTTTCTTTACTGAAAGTGCCTTATAGAGAGCACGGTTCAAAAGGAGATAGGTCATTAAATTTTCTATGACTGGCAAGATTCTTGTAAATCCCTCCATGATGTATTTCGATGTCCATTTTACCATTCCTTTGTTTGTTTGTTTTTTTGCTCATTTTATGATGCATTTATTTTTGTCATTTAAACACTCAATGTCGTTACCATGGAGACAATACGAGTGACCAGATTTAGGATATGACTGTCTGTGTATCCCAACCGTCTATCGAAAGTTATCGTGACCAGCGTGACCGAAAAATTAGGACAATGGGTATAAGTCACGCTGAGATGCACAGATTCACTGTGACGGTACTGCAGCCTGAAGCATACGCAACCACTAATGTCGGGACCTGTTTATATTCCTTTGCATGTAATCGTCGTGTAGTTTACATCCGCCTATATTTATGTTCATCATAATGTCTTTTGTGGAATCGGTGACCATGGATGCACTCGTATATGTATCACGTTGATATTTAGTAAAGTACCCTACCTTGCATCTTTTGTAATTCTCCGAAAATGTCGACGAATCTTGTGTTTAGAGGTTTAGAGTCTGACTGTTTTAGGTACACGGCTCTCGCTGCTGGTATGGAGAGCGCCTTGGCGGCCCTGTTTTCCAGCTCGGCCGCCAGGGCGCGGTGTGCTCTACTCAGGTGGCGCTAGTGTCTATTAGACGATCCATTCCATGAGGTTTAGGGGCTGTCTGGCCGAAGGCGATCCAATGAGCATTTGTTTGGGAAATTATCCCGCGACCGCCTGGGGGGGGGGTCGGATCCGACCCCCCCTCCGTTTTTCTTGAATAACTCATGAACCGCTTACGCTATCAACTGGGGCGTTCCACGACAAATCGACAAATAAAAAATCAAATTTGCACCCTCATATTTTATTCTTCGTTGAAAACTGGTGTAAGGGGTTGTGATGGGCGGGGAAGCCAGCTGTGGCAAGGATTTTTTTCTTCGAACAACGGTTTCCGAGATATAGCCTCGGGCAATTCCTGGATTTCGCGCTGCAGCCCTATGTTTGGCGGCCTATAACTCAAAAACTATTGGCTTTTTATGATAAAAACTTTAAATGGTTCAACTCACAATCAACCAAGAAACATTTTGACTATCTCGGATTTTCAATTTTTGAAAATTTTGATCACGTGACCTTTTGTCCTATTTTTCGAAGAGTGACCTTGATATTTTCCCCACTGAAAGTTGCAATTTTGTCTGATGACGATTAAAGCCTTATCGATTGTCATTCCTATGCGATAATAAAAAAAAGTGGTTATCGCCCTGCGTTGACCTCAGGTCAGGTCATTTTTATGACCTGTCCATTATTACGAGCGGGAGCGACAGCGAGATCTCGAGAATAAAGCAAGATAGAGACAAGCGGTAAACGGTAAAGGGTACACACGGATAAGGTCTATAATTTTTACTGAGGTCATTTTCAGGTCAGGTCAAAGATGACGTCACAGGAGCTAAAAGGAAGTTAAAATGCGGCACTATACATATATATGAAGTTTTTCTCAAATAACTTTCAAGGTATCCCAGCTAGGAACAAACTAATAGCACCATCGTGATCCTCCCGTCGATCCGCATCGAAACATATGTATGTTGACCTCGAAAGGTCGAAAGGTCAAAAGTTGACCTTAGATCACGTGACCTAAGGTCAACTTTTGACCTTTCGACCTTTCGAGGTCAACAAACATATGTTTCGATGCGGATCGACGAGAGGATCACGATGGTGCTATTAGTTTGTTCCTAGCTGGGATACCTTGAAAGTTATTCGAGAAAAACTTCATATACATGTATAGTGCCGCTATTTTGACTTCCTTTTAGCTCCTGTGACGTCATCTTTGACCTGACCTGAAAATGACCTCAGTAAAAATTATAGACCTTATCCGTGTGTACCCTTTACCGTTTACGGCTTGTCGCTATCTTGCTTTATTCTCGAGATCTCGCTGTCGCTCCCGCTCGTAATAATGGACAGGTCATAAAAATGACCTTACCTGAGGTCAACGCAGGGCGATAACCACTTTTTTATTATCGCATATGAATGACAATTGATAAGGCTTTAATCGTCATCAGACAAAATTGCAACTTTCAGTGGGGAAAATATCAAGGTCACTCTTCGAGAAATAGGACAAAAGGTCACGTGATCAAAATTTTCAAAAATTGAAAATCCGAGATAGCCAAAATGTTTGTTGGTTGATTGTGAGTTGAACCATATAAAGTTTTTATCGTAAAAAGCCAATAGTTTCTGAGTTATAGACCGCCAAACATAGGGCTGCAGCGCGAACTCCAAGAATTGCCCGAGGCTATATCTCGGAAACCGTTGTTCGAAGGAAAAAATCCTTGCCACAGCTGGCTTCCCCGTCCATCACAACCCATTAGACCAATTCTAAGCAAAAAATAAAATATGAGGGTGCAGGGCACTTGTCGATTTGTCGTGGAACGCCCCAACTTGAAACTTGGCATACCTTCTTCTCCATCAATTTGACGTCTCGTGTGTAATTTTTAAGAAAATTTTCCCAATTTTTTTTTGAGATATATCGATTTTAGTGATGTAACTACATGGCCTTTTTTTGTCAAAAATGGTAAATGTTTAAAAAATCGCCAAAAATCAGGGTTTAAAGAAAATTGCAAATTAAGGACATGAATAGACGCAGCTCAACGAGTTCTTTAAAATAGCTATCTCGGATTTTCCATAAAATGCGTTTTTCACCCCCAAAAATTCAAAAAACTTTATTTTTTGGAAAACAGCTAATAAAATCCAAAATTTTGAGAATTTCCAAAAAACCGGAAATGTTATAGAGCTCTATTAGAAAATTAGATGTCCCAAATTTCAACTTTCTATCTTGATTTTTGACCCCCAAATTGTAAAAAATAGCTCCAACATGCATAGGGCATGGTGACGTCATAAGCATTTTCGTGAATTAGAGGCACTTCTGAACATCGCATGTGAAAACAAATGGCACCACTAGATTCCTAGGACAAAGCTCGTCTAGAAAAGTGCATTTTCATGTCAAAAATAAAAAGTTGAAAATTTGACCTTTTTTCTTAGTTCGTTTAGTTATGTATGGTATAAACGATTTTTTATGCTTTCAATGCACACTTATCACCAGCACAGTGACTTGGGGTCACATATAACCATTACCATCGGATTCGGCGTGAAAAATAAGCCATAAAACATGTGTCGCACGCCCATGTAGCAGAAAGTGAAAACCGTGACCTTTCGTAACCTGACCTGACCTTGACCCGTACTTAGTATGACCCCTATACGCACATGGTACCTTTACTAGGTCTTTGAGGTCATTTATGGTGAGTTTCGAGCAGCAGGTATCGATTCCGCTGTCCGTAAGCCTAATCATGCAAAACCCCAGAATTTGACCTTTGACCTGACCTTGACCCGAAAGTTGACCTCAATCTTAAAATCTTAAGAGTGCTTTGGGAAGGTCTCGTAGAAACCTTTCGAACGCCGCCTCGCGGGGCTCGATGCGACCATTGGTTCTCGAGATAACAGGGGGGGGGGGGTCGGATCCGACCCCCCCCCCAGGCTGTCGTGGGTACGGAAATAGCCCAGGCGGTGCCGGGTTATTGAGATAGCCACCTACTTCAGCCTATATTATCTGTCCTTGGGAATCTAGTGCCAATGGCAAACAAGTCCACAATAATCCATGAACACCTACCTCCTCAAAGTCTTGTCAGCTCACTTGGTGAGCGGGACAAGTTACTATAAAGGTGTCCGAAGGAGGCCTGAGGTCACGAGTCAGAAAAAAAAACAACTGAATTATTTATCCTTGGATCTAGATCACATGCTCGGACTTCCCTGTATTTGGGAAGTCAGTCCACCAACGTTGCAAACGAGAAGCAAGTTCTAAATTGTTACAAATGTATTGTTCATATTTTATCGTGAGTAGGTAATAATTACTAACAACTAATGGGCGTTGGAACGGCTGGAAAATTGTGGGTGCATTTGTGCAAAAATCCAGCCATAGCCGGTGGAGCGGGGGGGGGGGTAGGATAGGCAACGGGATGTTCTCCCTCGACTTCGGTATGTATCGCCGCTGATATGAGGAAACAGGTTGAGACGGGAGGCTCATTGCCATCTTCGGGGGGTTCAGAAAGTCGAAATAATTAGTTTCAAAAATTGTGCTTTGAAGTATTCATTATGTCAATACCTAATTCACGCCATAAAATCAGCCGACTTGGCCTTTCTTCAAGTGGGGTAAAATATCCTGAACTCGTCATGCTGCATGGGAAGTAGCGTTGATGCGAAAAATGTTTTTTGCTTCAGATTATTGTGGGTGCAGAATACATTGCCTGCACCCATTGGATAATTATTGTCGGTGCAGCTGCACCCACTGCACCTATGGTTCCTACGCTTATGCGAAGTAATGATATTAAACAATAATCCCGAATTATGTAATAGCGAGTTTACAAATAGTATTTTTAAACTCATAATTACATATGTACTTCAGAAATCGAACTGCCAGACACCTGGAGAAAGCAGCTCTAACGTGAACCTCCGGATGTGGACACTACGGAGTCCGGAGCGTCCGCTCTAATGCGGATAGCAAAGGTGATGATCTTAGCTTAACCCTATTCCTGGCGGGGGGGGGGGGGCCTCAGGAGCCCCCCCTGAGGTTTTTTGGTTATTTCTCCCAAACGCGTTGAGCTAGGAAGCTCAAATTTTCTGACTTTTCC